CAAATTGTGGACTATAAGTTTGAAGAAAAAAAACTAATTGCTTCACAGGACCTAGGCCCACAGACAACATGGGAAGTGATATTGTTTAGAATGAAATCAACTCCTCTATGATCGAACTTTGAGGTCAAGTAAAACAGAGAGAAGAAATCAAGGTTCTAATCTACCCCATTTTGTAATATACCGTGGGAGACATTCTGCACAGTGTCAGTTCAATATAGTTGATTTAAGAATAACTAAAAGGTATGATCTTTCTCTATTACATATTCCCATGCAGTCAGTGCATGAAAAAAAAAAAAGATTAAGGCAAGAATCCAGTTTGCCATACAATACAAACCACTTGGGATTATCATAAGATTACTTTCCCCCCTTTCAATAATTCTCTAGGAGCAGGGGAATTTTTCTTTTTTCTCACTTGACTTGCCCTACAATCAAAGGGGTTTCCTTTGTAGCTTTTCACAAAATAACTGCAACGATATTATTCAAACCCAAATGAGCGTTGAATCTTGGCCCAAATCAAGCACTGAGAAATTTGGCACTATTTCATTTGCTTATTTATTCCCTTCTGTATTTTCTGAATTTCCTACAATGGACATATACTGCTTTTATAATAAGAAAAAATTACATAAAGCCCTAACTGATTTGGCTCAGCAGATAGAGCATTGGCCTGCAGACTGAAGGGTCCTGGGTTTGATTTTGGTCAAAAGCACATGCCTGGGTTGCGGGCTCGATCCCCAGTGTGGGGCGTGCAGGAGGCAGTCGATTAATGATTCTCTCTCATCATTAATGTTTCTATCTCTCTCTCCCTCTCCCTTCCTCTTTGAAATCGATAAAAATATATATTTAAAAAATCACATAAAGAAGTTTAGTTCAGATCCGAAACTTGCTCAGGACCAATAGAAATAAGAGGCTAGGCTAGTGATCATGACATAAGCTCTACAGGCACCAAGGAGTCTGTTTATGGCTTTAAGAGCAAAGAACTTATATGCATATATGCATAACCCATGGACACAGACATAGTGCAGTGAAGGCCTGGGTAGGGGAGCAGGAACAGGGGTGGAGGGGGTCAGTGGGGGAATAAAAGGGTACATCTGTAATGCTTTCAACAGTAAAGATAAATTTTTTTAAAAAGAACTATTTCTTATGTTGAGTAGCAAACACTCTGAATGTTGTAAAAGGACACTATTACTTCTTCCCCCCTTACTGAAGGGACGTGTGCACTTACATAATTTTCTTCTGCATGGAGGTTAAAAAATAAATTATCTAGCAGCTTTACAAACAATGTGAAGACTATTTGAAATAAATCTGAAGCTGAGTTTGCCCTGGACAGTGTTAGACCAGCAGAGACTTTTGCTACAGGGAGACTGTCAGGCTTATCAAAGATGAATGTCGGAACAGAAAATTATTATTTTCAGGAGTGTTAAGAGAAGCAACACAATCTCATAAATATTTGGGGAGATCAAAGCAGCCTAATACAGGAGGCTCTAGATTTACCACCAGCTCTAGTATACAAGCTCCGTGACCTTGAGCCATTTACTTTACCTTTCTGAACCTCTGTTTCTATTTATCAAATAGCAATGATAATAACAGTACCTATTCGGAGGGTTAATAAAAGGATTAAACTAGGCAAATTGCTTATGGAACATTTACAAGCCCATGGAAAGTGCTCAAATAAATACTAACTTTTATGGAAATCTGGGTGGTCTTCTCCACTTGTATGACAATGGTTCTAAAAGGCAGAGCAGTGTCTGAATGTTTTGAAATATATTTGTTACACTATAGACTACTTTGGATACATGAAGTCCCCTTACCTTCATGCTTAGAGTTTTATTTGGTATTAGAACCTTCAACCAACGGGGCCCTAAAATGATGCCATCTAAATAGTTGCTTATCCTAGCCCGGCTGGTGTTGCGCAGTGGTTGAGCATCAAGCTATGAACCAGGAGTCACGGTTGATTCCCAGTCAGGGCACCTGCCTGGGTGGTGGGCTCGATCCCCTGTAGGGGGCGTGCAGGAGGCAGCTGATCAATGATTCTCATCATTGATGTTTCTATCTCTCTCTCCCTTCCTCTCTGAAATCAATAAAAATATGTTTTAAATAAATAAATAATTGCTTATCCTAGAGATGACAAGTGGAACTTCCTTGTACAAAATTGGAGAGAGCCGGTGTTTGTGTTTAAGACGCTAGCAGGACTTCCCAGAGGGAAAATTGTGTTCTATTGGGGGATAAGAATCTGTGTGTATTAATGGTAAATTTCCCAAATGTTCATCGGGAGGAGAGAGTTATTAGCAACTTGTCCCACATCGATTTCTCGCCACCACCCTAGGCAGCAGCTACTGTTTTAACTCTGGAAACAACTGGGGCTCAGAGAGGCTAATAATACCTTACTCACACAACGAGTAAACGGTAGACTGGGCACTCCAGGGTCTAACCATAAGTGGGAACATCCATTTATTTGACTGGAAACAAAACACACGTTAGCCTCACCCTTTTAAAAAATGGTGGAGGAAATAGACCCACTGAGGGAGAGAAGAACAAAGAGGAAAAGTTCAGCCAGAACATTTTTTCCTCAGAGGCAGAACCAACCATCACTGCCCAGAAGCAAAGCCAGAGCTGGCAGGCACTAGGGTGGAAAGACAATCTTCCAGGGAATCTAAGGAGAAGTTGTGCTTTCAAAAGGTGTAAGCCCTGTGCTTCCCCGCTCCCTTCCAACCTTTGTCACCGGGCAGTGAAATAGTTTCGGTCTGCACGCTGTCTCCAGGGAGTGGAGCAAGACTTGTAATAAACAAGAACAAGTGCCAGAGCCCCCAGCCAGCCGCTCCGAGGCCGGGCCGCCAAGGAAACCTGGCGTGGCGACAGCAAGGTCCACTCAGCACGGCCAGTGGTCACGGAGGGGCGACTCTGGGGAGGACAGCCAGGTGGGGCTCCCCCAAGCTCACCTAGAACAGTGCATCCTCCTACTAGTGAGGTGTTGTAAGCTTTTAAAGCCCCCAGCCTGGCCTGGCTGGGTGGCTCGGTGGTTGAGTGTCAACTTCTGAACCAGGAGATCACAGTTGGTTCCCAGTCGGGGCATATGCCCAGGGTGGGGGCTCAATCCCCAGTAGGGACGTGCAGGAGGCAGCCGATGAATGATTCCCTCTTATCATTGATGTTTCTATCTCTCTCTCCCTCTCCTTCCTCTCTGAAATCAATAAAAAAAAAATATATTAACTCCTCCAGCCTGGATGTTCCAGGAACCGCTGGAAATAAAACTGTATATGCGTGCAGGCATGTGTGTTGCACGTACATGTGCACACATGCACACAGCTTTCTAGAGAAAAGGTCTTTCAGCAAATTCCCAAGAGCCCAAGGGCTTGTGCGAGTAACCGCATTCAGGAGAAACACATATTCTGATCTTCCAGAAAAGAACACCAACTCACCACTTTTATTTCTGGAACAACTGAGCCCAGGCCGTCAGCCCACTTTCCTCTTACAAAACCCTAAGGCTCTTCAGAAAGGAGGGGGGGGGGGAATAACTCAACCCCTTTTCTAATCTAAACCTAATCCTCCTTAAACCTCGCCTGACCCGGGCTACCAGGAATCCTGCCAGTGCCAAATGATATGATGTTTATCCAGATCAGGTCTTAGCCCGCTGCTCCCGAGCCACAAAATCAAAGGGGAGCGTTTCAGCTGCCACCTGCTCCTGAGTGGGCCAACAAAGACCAGCCAAGAGCGCAGGGCCGGTGTTTGAGGACAATACCTTTGTGTAGTTCTGGCGGAAATAAGGGCCCAGCTCCTAAGGAGCAGGCTTGAGACATGTCCAGAGGCCCTGCCAAGTAGTTCAGGAGCCTGGGTACAGCTGTTGCTAATGCACCCTTTGACCCCCGGTGCCCTCTCAGACCAGCGGAGTGTCAGTGACACCATGTCCCCTAGAACAGAAGTTTGCAAAGTTACAGCGTGTGAGCCAGTTGGGATTGTGTTGGAAGAGCTTTTTCCAAATGATTCTCTGCGCAGCCTCAGATCTGTGAGGGTGGCGTGGAGCTCAGAACACATGCCTGACCCCTGTTTTGCCAGAGCAGCTGTTTTGATCTGGTTTATATCTGGGGGATCAGCCATAAGTGTTTTCAGGTGGGGGAGGAGAGTTCTGTTGCTAAAAACAGAATGTTTGAAAAGCACTCTGGTCATATCAGATTTAACATATTCTTACCTGAGAGGGATTTAAAGGAAATACTACGTCTAGATCCTAGATCCAGCAAGCTGGTTTTATTCTCAGTTTTCTCTGCTTCCCTTCACTGAACACATGTGTGTCTGAACCAGCATTTTCCTCTCTGTAATAATAACCATGGGAAGAGTAGCTACTATTTATTCAGGGCCTATTGTGTGTCATGGGACGTGCTGGGCATTCAAGAGCAGTATCTCACTGGACCCACTGCGGCTCTTTGAGTGGACAGTCATTCTTAGCTCCCAGGTGGGGACAGTGAACACAGCAATAACAACACCCCCAACAGCAGCTTGCCTCAGTGTACCCAGTGCTGGTAAATGGTGGACCAGAACTAACCTAGGTAACTCAGCCTGAATTCTGACTCAGTGTACAGTGTCACCTCTAATGCTTAATGAGCAAGAGGGGTGTGTGTGTGTGTGTGTGTGTGTGTGTGTGTGTGTGTAAATCAGATATAAATTATTTATACATCTTAAAAATAATTATGCTCAATAGAGCATATCTGAAAGCAAAAATAGGAAGAAAAAAGTTATCCATCATTCTACCATTCCAAGACCACCAACTGTTATTGAGCATATTTTTCCCAGTCTATTTTTATGCATACTTTTTAGTTCTGCACATTTAAAACAGCTGTAATTGCCTATGCATATTTTATTTTGCTTTTGTCACTTAATGTGACAACATAATAGGATGATGTTTTTCATAATATTTCAAATTCTCTATCATTTTTACCAGATAAAAATTAATCTCTTAGGTGGAGCAATTCAGTTTAACAAACATTTATTGAGCACATAATATGTTTCAGATTCTATGCTGGAACCTAGAAATACTGTTCTTTTCTTCAAGGAACTAGCAATCTAGTGTGGGGCAAAGAAGGTAAATAGATAACAATATAGTTATGATAATAGCTAATACTACCGAGCATATACTATGTTCCAGGCACCATTCACATGAACAAACTCAATAAATTCTCATAGCAACCTTATGAGTAAGGATGTCTCTCTCCCCTTTTAATAGATGTCAAGACTGAGGCACATCTTGCTAACAAGATGGTGTTTTCAGGTGTGGTAGATAGAACAGTAGCTCCTTGAGGATGTCTGCCTTCTAATTTCTAGAACTTGTGAAATTACCTGTAAAGTGAAATGGTAAAATAGAATGTTACCTTACATGGAAAAGGAATTTCGCAGATGTGATTAAATTAAGGGTCTTGAGAGAAGATTACCTTGTATTATCTGGGTGGGTCCAATGTCATCAAAAGGGTCTTTGTACCGAGGCTGCTGAGCCCAGTTTTGGTCTGACCCCACCGGTCAGACATCTGGTGCCATTCCCGCCGCCTACAACAAAGATGGTAGCAGGGTTGGCTCCTCCTGAGGACTCTCCTTTATTTGTAGATGGTCTTCTTCCTGTATTCACACGGCCTTTCCTCTGTATATGTCTGTGTCCTAATTTCGTCATCTCATAAGAAGGACATTAGACAGTTTGGATTAGGGCCCACCCTAATGACCTCATTTTAACTTAATTGCATCTTTAAATACTCTTTCTTTCTTTCTTTAAAGAAGCTACCACATGCTGAGGCAAGAACATACAATGGAGCCAGGATAGTCTCTTCAATAAATGGTGTTGGGAAAATTGGATAGATATATGCAAGAAAATGAAACTAGACCACCAACTTACACCATACACAAAAATAAACTCAAAATGGATAAAGGACTTAAATGTACGACAGGAAACCATAAAAATTCTAGAAGAATACAAGGGCAACAAAATCTCAGACATATGCCAAAGCAATTTCTTCACTGATACAGCTCCTAGGGCACTTGAAACTAAAGAGAAAATGAACAAATGGGACTACATCAAAATAAAAACCTTCTGCACAGCAAAAGAAACCATCAACAAAACAACAAGAAAACCCACTGCATGGGGAAACATATTTGCCAATGTCATATCTGATAAGAGCCTAATCTCCAAAATTTATAGGGAACTCATACAACTTAACAAAAGGAAGATAAACAATCCAATCAAAAAATGGGCAAAGGACTTAAATAGACACCTTTCAAAAGAGGACATTCAGAAAGCCAAGAGACATATGAAAACATGCTCAAAGTTACTAATCATCCGAGAGATGCAAATCAAAACAACAATGAGGTACCATCTCACACCTGTCAGAATGGCTATCATCAACAAATCAACAAACAACAAGTGCTGGAGAGGATGTGGAGAAAAAGGAACACTTGTGCACTGCTGGTGGGAATGCAGACTGGTGCAGCCACTATGGAAGACAGTATGGAGTTTCCTCAAAAAACTAAAAATGGAACTCCCATTTGACCCTGTGATCCCACTTCTAGGAATATATCCCAAGAAACCAGAAACACCAATCAGAAAGGATATATGCACCCATATGTTCATAGCAGCACAATTCACCATAGCTAAGATCTGGAAACAGCCTAAGTGCCCATCAGTAGATGAATGGATTAGAAAACTGTGGTACATCTACACGATGGAATACTATGCTGCTGTAAAAAAGAAGGAACTCTTACCATTTGCAACAGCATGGATGGAACTGGAGAGCATTATGCTAAGTGAAATAAGCCAGTCAATGAAGGAAAAATACCACATGATCTCACTCATTCATGGATAATAGAGACCATTATAAACTTTTGAACAATAATAGATACAGAGGCAGAACTGCCTCAAACAGATTGTCAAACTGCAGCAGGAAGGCCGGGGAGGGTTTGGGGGCAGGAGGGAGGGGGGTAAGAGATCAACCGAAGGACTTGTATACATGCATATAAGCATAACCAATGGACATAAGACACTGGCGGGTAGGGGAGGCCAGGGGATTGTCAAGGACGGGGGGAAAAAAAGGACACATATGTAATACCCTTTGTAATACTTTAAGCAATAAAAAAAAAAAAGCTACCACATGCTGGAGATTAGGACATATAAATTTAGGGAGACACAATTCAGCCCATAGCACATGGAAAAGAAAGTTCTAGAGCAAGGGTGGGGGAACGTCCACCTGTGGGCTGTATAAGGCCCATGAAATCATTTGGTCTGGCCCTGCCAAGGCAACCACAGGTGGGATTCCAAGTTCAATAAATCTAAGAGCTTTCTTCATAGCAACATAAATTTATGTTAAGTGAATTATATGAAACGAATGATGTTATAACTATCCAAATGGCCCTTGGCAGAAAATGGTTCCCCACCCCTGCTCTAGAGGGATGAATCAACACCAACCAATGAAGAGAATTTACGTTTATTATGAGAAGGAAGCTTTGTAATAGTTTAACATTTCCCATAACAGAACAGAGCTAGAAAATGAACACAATGGTTATGCTGGTGATAGGCTCACTCTTTATTTCCAGCTCTGCCCCAGTGCCTGTCCTGGTCTGCTGGGCTGGGTCACATGCAAACTGCATAGACCCTGCTGTGACCTTTCTCTTTGGAAACTTAAACTTAAATCTGCTTTAAACAACTGCCTGACTCTTTTCCAGCACCCACCCAGGTCTCACGTTGTTTCTGCAAGCTGCCTTCAAAGGCAGCATGAGGGGGAGAAAACAAACCATGAACAGGAAGGAGTTCAGCTTCTTTCCCCTCCCAACAAAAACTCCACAGTAACCTCTGTGCATCCTTCATCTGTCCTTGATTCAGATCACAATCTTTTACTCTTAGAGTGGAAAAAGAGAGTGAGCTTTTTCATAATGTTAGAGTACATCACCAATAAAGAGGTTTATAGACCTAAATCAGGAGTCAGCAAACTTTTCTGTCAAAAGCTAGGTAGTAAACATTTTAGCATTTGGGCCACAGAATTGCTGTAGTGACTCCACAACTCTGTCATTATTAGCTCCAAAGCAGCCACAGACCAAACAGTTTTTTAAAAAGAGCATCACTGTGTTCCAATAAAATTTTATTTATAAAATAGGTGGTGAACCAGTTTTAATCTGTGGGCTGTAGTTTGCCATAATTTAAAAAATTTTGAATATATTTACTAGTGTGAACAGAAATATGTAGTGATCAACTATGGATTGTACTCATTTCTTTGCTGATTTATTTAATAAATTACGTATTTATGAAAGTGAATCATAGTCTGGTCCCTTCTCAACACTTTCTTTTTTTATTATAAAAATGAAGCTGGAGGGGTAGGGGTGGGAAGAGATTAACCAAATAACTTATATGCATATATGTATAACCTATGGACACAGACAATAGTGCAGTGAAGGGGAGGGGCAGGAATGGGAAGGAGTGGGTTAATGGAGGGGGAACGGGGGACATCTGTAATACTTTCAACAATAAAGATAATTTTTTAAAGGCATAAAAAATGAAGTTCTAAAAATTAGTGTCATAGTAACATTTTCCTGAAACTAAACTTTACCTTTAAAAAAAAAGTTTTTGCTACATAATGCTTAGGTTAAATCTGTCACAAAAATGACCATCACATGCTATAACTACAAAATAAGGGGCAGAGATAAGAGTCAGGATTTAAGCCCAAAGAGCTGGTGTTCAATTTTGTCATTTATTCCACCAATATTTTTATGTGTGCTGCGTGCAAGGCACGAGACAGAACAGTGCTGTGGAGAATTCCAGGATGAAACAGACACAAACGGCATCTTGTTAAGTCTGAAGTGTTTCTCTCCAAATAAAGTGAGAATAGAATCCTGCCCCCGGTCACAGTGATTAGTTTAGGGGAGAGCACGTGACTAAGTTAGAACAGGCAGATTCTTCCCGTGGAATCTGAATCTAAAGTCCGTGGCTGGAAGAGCCTGGAATTACTTCACCAAGGAGATAGTTTATTGGTTCCAGCCACTCAGCAACATGAAGTTGCCCTTTTCCCAAGGTTGTTTGGTTTGGAAAGGGGACTAATAAGCAATAATATTGAAAAAATACGTTGGGGGTCAACTGTGGTGAGCCTTCAAAACCAGAAGGAGGAGCCTGAATTATACCCTCTAGATAAAATATGTCCTATGATACTGTAATTGACTTGAATGGGTTAACAATAAGCCAGACAAACACCATGTGCACATCTCTGAGGTGCTAAAGATCAGCCTGAGTGATGATACAGGACAGAGGCAAAATGAAGATCACAAGTGTTTGGCATCCCATGCAAATTGGCCAGTCGCAGTGCTGTGGAGCAGGGCTTCTCAGCCTTGGCACCAGTGACATTTGGGCTGAATAATTCTTTGTTGTGGGGCTATCCGGTGCATTGTAGGACATTTAGCAGCATCCTTGGCCTCTACCCACTAGATACTGTCCAGTTGAGTTATGACAGAAAAAGTGTCCCCTGGAAGACTGTATTAATCTATTGCTGCTGTGACAAATTACAATGAAATTAGGGGCTTAAAACAATCCAAATTTATTCTACAGTTCTGGAAATTAGAACTCCAAAATGAGTTTTTATGGGGCTAAAATCACGGTGTTGACAGGGCTGGTACCTTTGGGGGCCTCTGAGGGAAGAACTCATTTTCTTGCCCTTTTGTCTCTGTTTCTAGTGGCCATCTGTATTCCTTGACTAGTGGTCCCTTCCTCCAGCTTTAAAGCACATCACTTCAATCTCTGCTTCTGTCATCACATCACCTTCTCCTCCACTCTGAATCTCCTGCCTTCCTCTAATAAGGACCCTTGTGATTACATGGGGCAATCTGGATAATCCAGGTTAATCTCCTAGTCTCAGAATCCTTAATCTTATCTGCAGTGGCTCTTTTTAAAATATATTTTTTCCCTTGATTTCAGAGAGGCAGAGAGAGAGAGAGAAACATCAATGATAAGAGAGAAACATGGATTGGCTGCCTCCCACACACCCCCTACTGGGGATTGAGCCTGCAGCATGGACATGTGACCTGACTGAGAATTGAACCAGTGACCTCTTGGTTCATAGGTCGATGCTCAACCACTGACCTACACCAGCCGGGCAAGAGAATCTGCATTTTAAACAGGCTCCCGTGGCAATTTTTTCCCTCCTATGCTAAAGTCAGAGAACACTGCTTCTAATATTTCTAATCTTGGCTCCAATCCATGAGGGAGCTGTTTCCCCCTTCATGGAAAAATCACCATCTTAATGATCGCTGCTCAGGGCTGCCTTATTAACTAACGGGGGCATAGAGACTCAACTCTCAATGTTTGGCAAGGTAATTCCAGCCATTTTACCTCCCCCAAGAAGCAATTAGGCATCAAGTGGCTCACTATTAACTTTTATCCAGTTAACTAATTTATAAAAATAACAGCCAATCAAACTTTGTTTTGGGTTATAAGAATTGGCTATCTATGTGGTTCATCATGAAGGCTGAAGAAAGGCTCATCTCTAGAAATATCTTGGTCCCACCAATCTGCTAAGGGGGTGAGTCTGTGGTTTGGGTTCTCCTAAAATTCCAAACCTGTTTCCTAGAAGGAGTAATAAGTTATACATTAATACATTATGATTCAAACAGGTGTTTAGATGGGTGGGAAAAGACTGGGCAAAG